GGATCAGAGGCTGATTTAAGGGAGGAGGGGGGCTGTTGTTGGTTAGGATCAGACTCTGGGGAAGATCAGCCACGGCTAAGACTCTGACATGAACTGAAGAAATCAGGGAGACTCTGTCAATCCTGGGTAGGGGGCCTACCCACTTAACTTCATGGCTTGATTCTATTTTCTAAGTTTCTCAGGAGTTTTAAATTGGAAACCTGTCCCTTAAGATCATTTTTAATTGTGGACTTAGTAACTTAGTGACTTTAATTCTTTAAAGGAAACAAAATGCTGACTGATTATGAGGGGTCAATTCTGCCAACCTGTAAATGCCCATCTGGTTGCTTAGCTACCAGAGTCCTTTCTTTTAAAGGTGGGGACTGAACAAATTCCTCCTGGCTGTTTTTTTTTTTTTAAGTTCAGTGGGCCTTCCAGGAACTGGAACTTTGCCCCAGAGTGAACTGGAAGAAAAGATGTCAAGCAGATTGTCTCTTTGGAGGAGTTGGAGTAAGGAACAGTGATGTCGCCAGAGCATCTCTGCTTCTTGTCTGACCTCTAGTGGTAACTGTAGAGATGTACACATAGTTTAGTGTGGGAACTGGGGCAGGGAAAAAGGGAAATGGTCTCAATGCAGTCTAGTAACTTAGGATTCCAACCCATCTGAAATTTCCCTCATTGGGTATAACAGGATAAAAGAGCAAGAGTCCAGGAGCACCTTAAAAGACTAACAACATTTGTGGCAGGGTGTGAGTCACTGCTCCCTTCTTCAGATTCACAAAAGCTCATTCCCTGCTACACATTTTGTTAGTCTTTAAGGTGCTACTGCACTCTTGCTCTTTTCCACTGCTACAGACAGACAAACACAGCTACCCATCTGGGTATAACAGGGTATGTGTCGCCTCTTCCAGGGGCACAGTCGGAGATTTTAAGCATGAAGATTTTGGGCTACTTCTCAAAGCCCCAGGCCCTTATAAACCCAAGCCAATGCTTCTGGAAACAAAAGTTGCTATATATCCAGTGAGAGGCACAAGCAGGGTGGAGCTCATGGAATGGGGCTGTCCTGTCTCCACTTCCCACTGTAATCTCCCCTGCCCCTATAACACTCCTCCTTGCCTTGGTGTCAGCTAGCTGCCATTGTATCTGATGTTACCTGCTTCCCATGCCTTGTGCTCTTCCCCCCCCCCCCCCCCGGGTTTAGATTGCTTCATTATGCTTCTCTGTGTTTTGCGGAACTGGCCAAGGTCGTGCAGCTGGTGGGGGGGAGTCGGAGCTTCGCTAAGCTTGTTATGGTTATCTACCCTGTGAACTGAACCTGTGTTGATAGTATTGGACTGTTACATTCCCATGGAATAGGCGCGCGTTTCCGAGTTCTATTCCCGCCAGCGGGAACTAGCCTCATTGGCCCAACATGCTTCAAATCCCTTTTATATGCTACACTTGTGTATTGGTAGTTATTCCTAACAATGTTCTTGTTCCTGTCTGAACCATCGCTTTGAAATAAACCTTGCTTTGATTCAAACGTGGAGTTATTTCGAATGCCTGGGGATCCAACACTTGGGGACCCTTACCAACAGCACTCAGTGGTGGACAGTGGGGAGAAACAGGAGAAATCACTCCCAGTAGCACAAAATGGCTGATGAACGCAACCACTCGTGTCCAAGAACATCAGAGTGCTTAATGAGTGAGTAGAATATAATAGGGACATTCCTTCCTGGACCAAATTCAGTTGATGCTCATGTAGCACACCCCAAAGTCCTGTTCTGGGCCACCATTTTGTTTTGGGCCATCATTTTGTTTGACTGTTACCAACTATCACTACATTTGGTACAGGGAAGGAGGGAGAAGAAATAAAGCACTTCTTTATTTGCTCCCCAAGTGACAGTAGCCCTGTCAGTTCCAAGCTCTGTCGTCTCTGGGAAAACTCTGAAGGTTCTTCCACCAGAAAAAGTGGGAGGAGACTGAAGTCAGAGACTCCCACAAGGAAAGCAACACCTCTGTCTGCCTCTGTCTATTGGGTGTTTGGTTCTGTTTCTTTCACTCCCTCCAGGGCTAATTTCCCACTCTCTGTTGCACTTCACAGGGAAAGGTAGCTACTAAGGAGCTCAGTATGAGATGACCCTTCCCCCCCCCCCCAAAAAAAATCAATCACAGGTGCCTGAGACTTACAGGAATAAACTGGAGCTTGGCAGGTGGCACCTGACCAACCGCTGGGGCACAAGCAGCTGTAGCGGTGTGTGCCATCCACACAGGTTCCACCGTTGGCACAGGGGTTGCTGGTGCAATCATTGATGTCTGTGTTGGGAAGGGAAGTGGGGAATCTCAGCAGACACAAGGGCCAATCATTTTTGGATTTCAGAATTTGGCCCCTTCAGGAGAAATGCTCCCCACTACAATTTTGGATAGTAATCAGCCCCTATACAACACCCCTCTATTCTTTTTTTGTTAACCAGGAGGTTTGAGGTTCTCCTTTCAAACATCTTTGCCAGGTTCTTCTCCCAGGCCTGCCTTCCATGCAAGTAGAAATGGAAGCTGTGAGGCGGGTTGCTGCCACCTAGCATGCCATGACCCTCAAAACATCCCCCAAACAGGCTGTCAGCACATACTTTTGCAAAAAGGCTGCTGTCCACTCCATGTGCCATTATCCAGGCATGTCCGTGTCTCAGATCCTTCCAGGAGGAAGCCAGGGTCACACAGGAAGTGCGCATCATGACCCACAAGTGTTTTCTTGCCCAGCCTCCTGCCATTCAGGGGCGCTGGCAGCAGAGTACAGCTTTCTGTGGTGGAAGAGAAGCAGAAGACAAGCCAGTTTAGAGTCCACATTCCTAATCACTACACCAAACTGGGAGAACCGGATTTGATTCCCCACTCCTCCACATGCAGCTAGTGGTGTGACCTTGGGTCAGTTACAAGTTGTTTCAGAGCTGTTCTTTCACAAACAGTTCTCGAAAGAGCTCTCTCAGCCCCACCTACCTCACAGGGTGTCTGTTGTGGGGAGGGGAAGGGAAAGGCGATTGTAAGCCACTCTGAGACTCCTTCGGGTAGTGAAGGGTGGGGTATAAATCCAGTCTCTTCTTCCTCTACAAAAAGGCCTTCTTTTGGATCCCAGTACCTAACTACCAATTGAAAGTGGCTACTATATATACTATACATGTAAAACAAGAGGGTTTTTCTCTTATGGGCTGCCCAGGCTACTATGGCCTGTGCCATTAGGCTGGAAATCTTGGGTGGAGACAGCAGAAAGGAAGAAATTTCTTGGATCTCTCTGGCATGTTTAAAGGGGAAGAACCAGCCACTGTGATCAAAAGAACTGGCCTTCTTATGGATGCTTTATCAGGTATTGCCTTTCATAGTCTCTGTGACATTCTATAGGCAAATATTTTGGATGAGAAGCAATGTTCTCTTGCAGGGCCTCCATGCTTAATTTGGAACAAATACCATTCATTCAATCAGATATTACAGAGAATCCATACCTGAGCATCAACATTCCATTCCACTATTTTCCTCTTTTGTCACATTTTTCAAGACTTAATCTGTGGCAGTTTTTAAAGACAATAAATTTCAGCTGTCATTCCAGCCTACCCAGTCTGGATTGTCAAAATATTTTTTCTCTTTTTAAAACTCTGCTTTCCCCCCTAAAAATGCATTGCATAATGTCATGATTTTGATGGTTAAAAATAAATAATGAGCAATCACTTTGGCTGCAAAAGGAAAAGGTAGTAAATAACTACCACTATCAACTGGGACTCGGAGAACAAAAATAGGTAATTAAGGACTGGCCATCTTAAGTGAATAGGAAGCAACTAATTGAGCCAGTCAAGGACATGACTGTAAAACAGATTAAAATTTAAAGGGATAGTTACAGAAAGGAACAAAGCTTGCTCATAAATGCAGCTAATATGCCAGATTTCTACAGCGAATGCAATGCTGTATGAAGTGCTGTGAGAAACCAGAGTTTTAATTCTGCTTACAGTGGATTGCAATTGATTAAGCCGTGTGCAACTGTCCTACTGTCCTAGCTTGGAAACAATGTTAGAAAACTGATTCTATTTTTACCACATGGGCAAACTTTAATGAACACTTCAATTGTTTTCAAGCACAGTGTTCCAAGTGCTGCTCACTAAGGACTTGGGGGGGGGGGAGGAAAGGGGGACTAGCTTTTGCTGCATACTTCCAATGGGGATACTCTTTCAAGGTCCCACTTTTGCAAAGGTTTGTGGGAAGAAGTCCAACTTGTCCTAGTGGTAAAGGCCCTCTTCTACTGCTAGGACTAGTTGGACTTCTGTAATAAAGAGACCTCCAGTATTTCAGGGGGGTCAACAGGATTTTGGGATGTTTCCATAAAACTGTAACACAGTTCACTACCATTATATTGGATTGGTCATATTCCTATAGGATTAGACTAACTGGCTATCTGCTTCAGCATGCAACCTGTGGCCAGTCCAACAGCTCTAGGAGCCTTGCAAGGGAGTGGATAAAGGCAATAGCATCTCCATGTTATTTTCCCCAAGCAACTGGACTTCGGATCATGGATGTTCCATTTAGCTATCACAGCTGTAACTAGTTCTTAAAGAATTTGTTTCTCTCTTTATCAGACCTAGCAGGATCCTACGTGCAGCAAGGCCCAGTGTGGTGCAGTGGTACCATTACACTTTGGGGAGAACGTGGATTCAGATCCTGACACCCACGGTGCGACAAGGGGTTAATCGCACTCGCTTAGCCTAACCTACCTTACAGGAGCAAGATTTGATTCCAGCAGCACCTTAAAGACCAACAAGGTTTCTAAGGTAGAAGCTCCCTTCATCAGATAAGACACTACTGGACTCAAATCTAACCTTCTACTGCAAATCAACATGGATAACCTCTTAAAACTACTTTACAGAGTTGTTGTGACTCGAGTATGCAAAAGGAGAAAGGCCTATGCATGCCAGCCTGAGCTTCTTGGGATACAAAAGCAAATGGCAGAGAATCTGCCACCCTCCCAGCACAACCCAATTTGCTCTGTTCCCTTCGGACCAGCCCGGTACCCTCTGGCCGTCAGCCCTTTTACCGTTGCGCTTGGCCACCTGCTTCTGGATGTTGCCTTGGAGAAGGGTCAGCTGCTTCTTGAGGTTGCGCATGTTCTGCAGCTGGGCAGCCTCGTGCGAGGACAGCAGCTTCTGCATCTGCCTGATGGTGTTGGCCACCTGCTGCTTACTCAAGCAGCCCTGGAGGAAAAGAAGTCCAGGATGGAGGAGGAAAGGAAGCTAAGGGACAGCCCACAGCCATACAAATGGCTCACAAAGACTGAAGACAACATCAATTTTTTTCTCCAGAGACACTAGACATGCATGCTCTAAGTAGGGGGGTGCTCAAATACACGCCAGTTTGGTTCATGTCCTGCTCACCAGTCACAAACTGAGCCACATTTCTTTTTGACAGATCATTTATCTGTTCGTGGACCTGTTCATACCAGTTTGGCAGAATGCTTCACTGGATTCCTTCCTAACAGTGCAGGACAGTGCATTTTCGAACAGCTTGACTGAGTTTTACTACCCCTCCTGTCCTTGCTGCTCTTCCTCTCTCCCACCTGTTTGTCTCCACCCCATTTCACCCAGCCCCACCCCTGACCTAAAGGCCCCATTATGGCCCCTCCCGCCTGCATTTCAGGGTCTCTCAGCCCAACCCTCACCATCTTACCTGAGTGCTGCTCCAGGGCAGGTGTAGGATGCCCAGGGCCACCAGGGCCAGTACTCTGGGGAGCATTTTGTGCTCTGGGCAGGAAGGTGGGAAATGGTTTCTCTGCACAACTTTCCTCCAACAGCTTTGCTCAGGAAAGGGAGAAAAAGTGAGAGGCAATTACAGCAAGAGAGCAGTCCAAGTCAAGGTGGGGAATTACAACCCTCTCCAGACTACCAAGATCAGTTCCCCTGGAGAAAAGCACTTGGGACTCTTTAGCTTGGAGAAATGGCGGCTGAGGGGTGACATGATTGAGGTTTACAAGATTATGCATGGGAAAGAGCAGATAGAGAAAGAAGTACTTTTCTGCCTTTCTCACAATACAAGAACTCGTGGCCACGCAATGAAAATGAAATTGCTGAGTGGTCGGGTTAGAACGGATAAAAGGAAGTACTTCTTCACCCAAAGAGTGATTAACACTTGGAATTCACTGCCACAGGAAGTGGTGGCGGCTACAAGCATGGACAGCTTCAAGAGGGAATTAGATAAGCATATGGAGCAGAGGTCCATCAGTGGCTATTAGCCACAAGGTATAGATAGGGACTCTGGGGCAAGTGATGCTCTGTCTTCTTGGTGCTTGGGGGGGGGTCAACAGTGGGAGGGCTTCTAGTGTCCTGGCCCCACTGGTGGACCTCCTGATGGCACTTGGTATTTTTGGCCACTGTGTAACAAGAGTGTTGGACTGGATGGGCCATTGGCCTGATCCAACACTGGCTTATCTTATGTTCTTATAAATGGCTGCTTTGGAGGGTGGACTCCATGACATTATACCACCCACCCTCCCCGGGCTCCACCCCCAAATTTCCAAGAATTTCCCACCCTACTATTGGCAACCCCAGGCAGAGGGGACAAGCCTACTCCACACAATTGGTAGCCCTAAATCTTCCCTTACTACTTGTGGCAGAGACACCCCTTCCCACATGGCACATCTACCCCTGGGGTTGCCAACAGTTTCTTTAATATGAGCTACTTTCTGCGTAATTTATTGATTTTTAAAATATATTTATTTGCCCCGTTTCCAGAACATCCAAGGCAGCTAACAAAATATAAACATGCACAAATAGTATTTAATTATATGAATTAAAATATATCAAGTTAAAACTGTGACAAAGTCACTTCCAGCTGCGAGAGGCTCATATTAGTTACTTCTGTTCAAGTATCCCAAACGAATCCCCTCTCTGCCCCAGCCATATTATCAAGTTTTGTTTTGTCCTAGAAACACAAAATGAACCAGGATAAGCTCCGGAAATGAAGGTATCGGCTAAGTAGCATTTGGGGGGGGGGGATCCTATGAAATAATACAAACCCAAGAGCAGATCCTTTTGTGATCTTTTCCTGGGTCTTTTAAGGGATGCCCAAGCTTCTCTGTAGCAGCTGGAAAGCTTCGGGGAGCTCATGAGTGACCTGTTAGAAATCTGTGCTCTACACTCTACAAGAGTGTTGCCAACTGATCAAGAAATGAAGTGCCACATCCTGTCCCTGCACGTCAGCAGCAGCTTGGTGTGCTGAGATCATTGGGTGATTTTTCCTCCCTGGGCAGAGATGGGCACGATCATCTGCTTTTGTCAAAAGCTCAAGCTGATGTTACAAAGGCATCCTGAGGGCAGAAGCCTGAAAAGTTGACCGCCCTGCCGCAAGCCTGAATCAGTGTTTTATAACAAGTTCAGCAGCAAGGGAGTTTGGGGTGGCTGCTGAGAGTTCTCCCTCCTCTCTCACCAATGACAATTTCCATGTTTTCTTGGAGGCAGGAGAAAGGGGCCCATAACAAGTTCAGCAGCAAGGGAGTTTGGGGTGGGTGCTGAGAGTTCTCCCTCCCCTCTCCTCAATGACAATTTCCACGTTTTCTTGGAGGCAGGAGAAAGGGGCCTGAGAAAACAGCCTTCTTCAGTGGAATTCAACCAGAGTCCCAGTGACCAGTGTTCCCTCTAAGCTGAGTTAGTGAGAGCTAGCTCACAGTTTTTAAGCCTCCGGCTCACACATTTTTGTCTTTGCTCTGGAAGGATGGCTCCAGAGCAAACTAATTGATGCAGTAGCCAGATCCCTCGCTCACAAGTTTCATGCCAGTCGTTCACAAAGTAGAATTTTTGCTCACAAGACTCCAGAGCTTAGAGGGAACATTGCCAGTGACACCTTAAAAACTAACATTTATACCAGAGCTCACTTTGGGTTCTGGTGCCCCCCCCCACTCCAAGTAGGGATGCCACCCTCCAGGTGGGATGTGGGGGGGATCCCCCGGAATTACAGCTCATCTCCAGACTACACAGATCAGGTCCCCTGGAGATAAGGACTGCTTTGAAGAGTGAACTGTGTGGCACTGGACCCCACTGGACCTCCCTGTCCTCCCCAGGCTCCATAAATCCGCAAATCTCCAGGAATTTCCCAGCCTGGATGGATCTTCAAGCCACCATGCCCTTCCCCCACCGGTGGCTGAGGGCGACCTGGCAACCCTAACTCCAAAGGTGCTGCAGCTTTGGAAATGTTTCAGAGGGCGCTGCAATTTCAGTCCGGCTCCCGTTTGAGAGAGGGTGGGTGGTGGGCTCTGTAGGTCCCACCAGCTATCCTGGAGACTTTGCTTTGCTCCCTGCAGGGCTGGGACCCTTAGAAGCAGCATGCGGGGGGGGGGGATGCTGGCTGCCTTGGCTTGCAGGGAGGGGGAGACCCAGCGTTGTCCCCTTCCCTCCTGGCGACCAGTGTTCCCTCTAAGCGGAGTTAGTGTGAGCGAGCGCACAGTTTTTTAACCTCCAGCTCACACATTTTTGGCTTAGCTCAGGAAGGAGGGCTCCAGAGCAAACTATTTTATGCAGTAGTCAAATCGCTCGCTCTCAACTTTCATGCCAGTAGTTCCCAAAGTAGAATTTTTGCTCACAAGACTCCGCAGCTCAGACGGAGCATTGCTGGCGACCCCGCCACCCAACGCAGAACAGAAGCCGAGTGCACCGACCTGGTTGGCGAGGGGCTTCTCTGGCGCACCACGGAGGGAAGGCTGGCCTGCCTCTCGCTCGCTCGCTCGCTGGCTCTCCCTCTCTCTCGCTGGCTGCCAGGGGGAGAGGGCAGGGCAGGCCTGCGAGGCGGCCCCCTCCCCTCCCCCGCCCGGCTGCCTTGCCGGGGATTTTTATCCTTCCAGAATGTGAGTGTTTGTTGTTTTTCCCCCTGGCCGAGGCGGAGCGAGAGCGGCGCGGCCAGTGGCAGGAAACGTTTGCCTTGGCACCGGCGCTGAGCGGGCACGCCGCAGCAGGCCTCCCCCTGGCCCGGCTTGCGCTCCAGCTGCAGGCAGAAGCCGCTCGCAAGGACTGCCACGTGCCCGGCAGATGCCAGGAGAGGCCTCTCCGGAGGACGGGCCGTGAGCGCTGCGCAGGAGGGACCTCCTCCTTCATGTTTCCCACACACGGATTCATGGAGCTTCCTTATACCGAGTCGGGTTATTTGGTCTGTCAAGGTCAGTATTGTCTACTCTGACTGGCAGCAGCTCTCCAGGTTCTTCTGAGACAGAGATCTGTTACGTGATCTTTTAAACGGGGGGTGGCAGAGATAGGGCCTGAGAGATTGTGCATGCAAAACAGATGCTCTGCGGCTGAACTGTGGCCCCTTATTTAAGGTACTACTGAGTCAGACGATTGGTGTATCAACTCCAGTATTGTCTACTCATATGAGTAGAGGCTCTCCAAGGTCTTGGGCTGCAGCCTTTCATATCAGCCCCTACCTGGTCCTTTTAAATGGAGATGCTGGGGATCGAACCTGGAACCCTCTGCATGCTCTGCCACTGAGCCACACACCCTTCCTGATAGCACCTATGCATTCCAGTTAGCACTAAAGCATCAGGCCAGGAGTGGGGGACCCTACCATGCAAAGAGCCATTTCACCATAGCCTTGGTGTGAACACTCAACAGAAAGCTGCAGCCACTTAGGGGTTCCCTGGAGATTTCCCCCGTTTTGTTATGCAGAGGGTTGAATGAGAAGTTCCAAAGCAAAATTGAAACCTGCAACTCACCCCCACTGATGAAATGTAGCCATCAGTAAGTTTTGCCAGCAGGGTGAAAAACAGTTCCTTGGGACTGTTTCCAGTCAGGAAAACAGTGCAGGGGGTTGGGGGAGTAGAAGTCACCTCTTCTTTAATGCTTACGGTTGCCAACTCTGGGTTGGGAAATACCTGAAGATTTGGAGGGTGGAGCCTGCAGAGGCCAGTGCTTAGGGTCGGGATGGACTTTATTGGGGTATAATGCCATACAGTCCACCTTCCAAAGCAGCCATTATCTCCAAGTGAACTGATCTCTGTTGCCTGAAGATTAGTAGAAATTCCTGGAGAACTTCAGGCCCCACCTGGAGGTTGGCAACCACATGCATGCTGTAGTTTCCCTCTTACTGGGAATTCAATTCCCAGCATGGAACTCCAAAGGCATATCTGTTGACAATCCACAGGTCCATCACAGGGACTTAATAATGTAAGGATTGCCACCCCCCCGGGAGTCTCCAAACAGGGACTAGGAGGAGACATACCATTAGGACATACAGTTAGTAGCATGTGGAAATGTGCTTCTCTGGAATATCCCAAACCCCCATCTCCTAAGGGTGGACTGTCCCAGAAAGCAGAAGTGTTACAGAACTTGCAGGATCAGAGCCTGGCTGCGACCCAGCTCAGCACAGCCCTGTGGAATGTGGGGCGGCCCATCGAAGGCTTCCCTTCCCTTCCGCTCCTCTGGTTGGGGAGAAACCACAGCTAGAATGCTGAACTGTGTACTTGGGAACACCCGACCAGAAATATCTTGTGAAATTATAAGGAGCTAGAGAAGTGCAGAGTAAATAGGCACCTTCCAAGACGGGAGAGGAGGATCTAAATCTGCTTAAGAGATGGTCATTCCCCACCCACACACACACACACTAGGATCTTTTACATACAAGAATGGGTCAGTGCAGAGACGGTAAGTCCGAAGGACTCCGCTACCAGTTGGAAAGTCACTGGTTCACATTTCCATGCTCAGCTTCAGACCCCTTCCCCCCACCATTAAATATGAAGATGGTAATCCCGTCCTTCCTAACAGGGTTGGTGTCAGGATTACTATGTGTAATTCACACACTGAAGAATAGAGATGAGTTGGCTGTGGGGGTCCCCGTGCTGTGCAGTGGGGCAAAGTCCTCCTGTTTGCTGGGTGGTGACAACAGAAGGACTTTGCATCACACGTATGACGGGAGTTTGAGACCAAAGCCGGCAGGCAGAAGCCATTTGAGCCTCTCCCCACAGCTGTTTTCACATCTGCAGAGGACCCCATGGAGCAGCTATTGGCTCCATTGTAGAAATCACGTTACTTACATGGCTACACGTAAGTTTCACACTGGAGCCCATACCCGCTCCTTGGTGCCATTTGAAGATGCAGAAACCGCACCAGGGTGTGAGCGTGTGTTATACTTCTCCCTGCCTGCTGTGGTCACAAATGGAAAAGAGCCTCTGTGCTTCTGGGAGGCACAATGCACCCATCACACGTGTGATGCAAAGTGCTTCTGTTGTTCTCCTGCGAACATGGGCCCTGTTACACGGGGTGCAGACCCCCAGAGCTGACTTGTACATTCTGTAATGTGTGAATTACACATAGTAATCTTTACAGTGATCCTGTAAGAAAGGACAGAATTACCATGTGGACATTGAAATGTGTAAATGTGAGCCTCAGATGTGAGTTGCAGGTTCTTCTCTATTCCTGCAAACACTGTGCCAGATTCAGATTGTAACACACATGATGAAGGGCCTTCAGCCTTCGCTCTTGTGCCATTTCCCTGACCTGAAAGGGACCAGGGAGACACACACACACACTATTTGGCCTCCTGGGGATAGATTGCTCCTCTTTCACAGACTAGGAAGTAGTGATGTTGTGGCTTCTCCAGTGCCCTGCTAAATGGCCCTAGGAGCCTGACTCGTCTGCAGAGCTGGCATTGGACTTAATTGGATGCTTTAGGGTTGCCAATCTCCAGGTGGCACCTGGAGATCTACCTCTATTACAGTTGGTCTCCAGACAACCAAGATCAGTTCCCCTGGAGAACTGATATGGCAAAGGGTGATTGTTGAAATGAACATATTTGCATGAGCTACTTCACCTTTTTAAAAAAGTTGGTCTTCCAGGTCAAGGTGTAGCAAGACAGACTAGACTGGCAGGTGACCCATTTTCAGTCTGAACAGCCCTGGACTATGTAGAGAGTCAAAAAGCATTGAAATGTATGTGTGTTGGAATTGTGCCTGCTGGCTTTGCCCCAAGCTTCATTTATCTATTTAAAATATTTATGCCTCACCTTATCGCCTCAGCCTCAAGGCAGCCAACACATCGAAAATCTGCCTGGGAATAAAAACATTATAAGTGTCCCGCAAGAACCCACAAATAAAAGGCAGAATTCAATATAATACACAAAAGATATCCACATTAAAAGGCAGCCTTTTTACTCTCTGCCAGATGCCCTCATGCATATGAGGTCCTCTTTGGGGATGGCATGTATTCCTCACAGGCATATGCTCTATATAGTGTGTGTATGTGTGTGTCTTTACATGTTTCCCCCCTGCAAATTACATGCTTGGATCCTGTGCGTGTTGGGCTAAATGCATGGAGAACCCTGTGCAGATGGGACCTCAAACTAGTGGACTTTAGGGGAGGAACCAGCAGGTAGGATCCCAGCTTCCCCACCATGTTGTCAGACTCCCATTGCATCAACGAAGCACACACTTGTAGAAAAGGTTTTGCTTTTATTTGAAGCAATAGGTGCATAACAGGATCACTGTTCAGAATGAGGCATAAGCATGGATCCCAATAGATTATAGTTAATTCAAAAAGCTGAGGCCCAATTGCGGGACTTCCCGTGTGCGCCATTGAGCCTGGGAAGCAACGCTCCTACTTAATCATAACATACTGCTTCTCATGGATAACGCCATGAGATCCCCAAACTACTACTCGCCAGCAACCACCTGTGGCCTTGAGAGATACGGACGTTCCTGCGACTAGGCAATTAAGCGTATAAGCAGGCATACATGGGAAAGTGAAAGCAAACAAGCGCATATCCAAAGAATAAGGACACATATGAATACACCCAGAGCATAGTGAAACATAAGAGCATACACAGAGTACAGGGAAACACATTGGCAGCTTGCTGACACATGTGCCCGGTTCTACACAATGTTGGAATACCTGCACAAGGTATGCAAGTTCAGAAACTGAGTTCACACTGCTGGCAAGGAACCCTTGGGGAAGCTGAGTTCACATGGCAGGCGAGGAACCCTTGGGGCCTGCCCATGAAGGGCTGCGTCTGTTTTCATCCTGGCTCCTGAGTGGTGGCAGCCTAACACCAAAGCTTAGTCTTGGGAGAGGCCTGAGGGATCAGCCCATCCTAGTCCCATTCCAGAATTGCTTTGGCAGTGGATGGGCTCACCAGGAGAGGCATCCGTCCTTGATGTTTTTGCCAAGTGGGTATGTGAGGTTTGTACACGGAGTTCATTTGCAAAATAAGTAGCCCATTCACAGAAGGGTCTTCAGTGTTCTTGGCAAAATCTCCCAGCATATCAATTGCGTTTTCTGCAGCCAGTGTCCATCTCTTTATCTCCCAAGCCTGACACGGTTTAAAGGAGCATGGGTGGGGGGTGGGGAGTCAGAAAATTGTGGGTGATGACAAGACATAATATTTTAAGGGATTTGGAAGCAGGATTCAGGTTTTTTCCCTGTCGTGAAAGCACATGCATGTATATTTTAATGTCTCGGAGCAAGATTCAGGGGGGGAAAGAAAGCTTTCAGCAATTTTCAAAGTGTTGGAGGAGAGCTGGTTGTGATACAGATCTTATTGGCTAGTGTTTATGCTGTTACCAACACCCTTTCCCAAATCCTTGGAGAGTGGTAGTGGCAGCTTGCCTGATAGCTGACATATATGCTTATGCTGCTAAGTATGTACGTAAAAATAAATTGACAAACCAGGTTCACACTGCAAGTGAAAAACTATGACTAAGAATGTGATGCTTGTTTTCACCTTAAATTGTGCCCAGACTTTCAGCCTCCAGCAGCTTCTGCTTA